CGCCCCCACCCCCGCCCCCTTCCTCTCTACTGTGTGGTTGCATCCTGCCTGTCTGGTAGACAAGCTCACCACGCAGCATGACCGTGTCTACCAGCCAGGCAGTACGCAATTACGTACTGATACTCTAGATAATAATAAAACTTAATTAGAAAATACTGGACATTTATATGTCCAGTATTTTCTCAATTTGTTTCCCAGACAGAAAGCTCAAATACCGGATGGTCCGGTTCAAACCCGGACACCTGGCAATCGTATTCTTTTACATGTTATTAGGGTCTGAATTACACTGTAACCATCCAGGAAAAACGATCTACATGTTACTGTGGACAGCTCAGTAAAGATCACTGCTTAAACATACAAACTAAAAGATCAGGATGTAAAAGAACAGGATAGGAAATAATAGTTGGGGCGAGGGAGCAATCTACATGCTAAAGTATCCTTTTTTTGCTCAAATCTAGGGGGCATAATCTAGTCACTGAAAATATTATGCCACAAATTGAATCCTTGTTACCCTAACTTGTAACACAAGAAGTGGACATTCAATGAGACTGAAAGGCAACAGAGTTAAAACTGATGAAATACTTTTCCACGCAATGAGTATTTAGACCTCAAAACTCATTGCTGCAAGGTGTCACTGAGGCCAACAGTTTAGAAGGATGCAATATTTATATGGACAACAACATACACAACTGTATTAGACAAGGATTTTTTTTAAAACACAGAATCGGTAGTATAACCCTTTATAATTAGAGCATAAGACAACCATTAAAACAGGTCAAAAGAAAGTATTTGGATATTCACTACCATAATAGTTTGGAATGGATGAAATGCTTGTCCTATCCATTATGGCAATATCTTTGTTCTGATCTCTATTCCCAAATAATATGTTAGTGAAGTACTCAGCTGCATGCTGCACTGACTGAACCACCACTTATACGATACCTATTTCCAGGGCTCGACAAATCACTGAATCTACTCACCTGTGGTGAGTAGATTTCAGCCGGTCACCCTGTTCACCAGCGGCGCACGCATGTGCAATGCAGGACTTGCGCATGCACAGTGCGGGGCTGGCAAGTAAGTTTCGCCGCCGTTTGTCAAGCCCTGCCTATTTCCATTTGATGCCACTGTTAGTGCTGTTTATCAAGGCTTTTCTTCTCTTAGATAGCCTTGTTCTGATGGTGGCAGCTATACAAATAAAAAACAAGAGCAGACAGAATGCTCCAAGAGGAATGCAACATCATGGCTTATGAAGATGTAGAAATATATGGATCCATTTCTTCCTCTATATTTCATTTTGCTTGTAAGCTATTACTTTGTCCTGAAAGCAATAGATACACCCAGTGGAGAAATCATTACCTTTCAGGAACTTGAACTTCTTAAGAAGGTCGGCACCTACGAAAGAGTCACAGAGATACAACAGGAGTCCACTGAAAAACACTCCCTCACAGTTGACATTGATGGAGTGTGGGCGGGAGCTGATATAGCATATTGCCACCTGAAACCAAAAGAGAAAGAATGTTTTAAGAAAACACATAAGAGAATCTTATGCAGAGGTTGCACATAAAATAATTACAAAGAGGCCAGAGTTGGTTGATATAAGCTATTAAAAAAATGCACAATCTTGGATACAGTTTGGGGTTTTGTTAGAATTTAAACAGGAAGATGGCCTAACGACAGTCACAGAAAGCACTGAACATTATCTCATTTGTTACCTTTTCAAGTTTCTAGCTTAAAAAAACCTCTGCTATGAATCTCATTCACTCTCACCTTTTAATCTCTTCCCACTACTAAAAAAAAACAAAAACCTTTATACACGGTAATGGGATTTTCTTATATTTCAAAGATACATCAGTAAAGCAAATAAAATGGTGCACAGACTAATATCTCCATTCAGGGTATGTCTAGACTGCAGACTACCTTTGCCGCCTCCAAGGAACACTTCTGTTCTTTTTTTCCCCCTGAAGAGCAGACCATTTTTTTTGGCATCCCTGTAAACCTCGTTTTACGAGGAAGAAGGTATGTTCCAAAAAAGGGGTTTTTCCTCACAATTGGCCCAGTGGGAAATGTGGGTTTTTCCCACAGTTGACCCAAAAAGAGGCGGAAAAAGCTACACAAATTGCAGTTCGCAATTTGCATATCTTTTTCCAGAAGAACTGTGTAATCTAGACACAGCCTCAGCTCCTGGTCTTTTGATGGGATGATTTCCAGAAGAAAAGTCATGTCTGCAGTTAAGATTATAACCTATGGCAGTGGCTCTCAACCTTTCCAGACTACCGTACCTCTCTCGAGTCAGATTTGTCTTGTGTGCCCCTCAAGTTAAAACTGTACAAATTCAGATAAAAATACAACAGTGTCACAGCCACACTATTACTGAAAAATTGCTTACTTCCTCAGTTTTACCATATAATTATAAATCAATTGAAATATAAATACTGTATTTCCATTTCAGAGTAAAGTATAGAGAGCAATATTAACAAATCATAGTCTATGAAATTTTAGTTCATACTGACTTTGCTAGTGCTTTTTATATAGCCTGTTGTAAAACTAGGCAAATATCCTGATGAGTTGATGTACCCCCTGGAAGATCCCTGAGCATCCCCAGGATTAGATCTATTCCTGGCTGAGAAACACTGATTTGAACACCCTTCTGAAAGTGCCCGCTGTAGACTAATTTAACTCCATTCTTTCCCATTACCTCACAGACTGAATAAAAACTTCTATGGCGTGTAATAGTCACCAACAATTGTAATATTATTTCATGTGTTCTGATGAGATAACATTTGAAGCGCATCCTATTAAGAATAAAAATACAAAAGTGGTGTAGAGAGGGTTCTATTAAAGATGATGATAATTAAACTGTGCTTTACTGAAGTGAGCAATCGGGCTAGTGCAACAGTGTAATATTAGAAACTGGCCAAGCAAGAATAAGGTTGCAGCCCATGTGAATGAGAAACAGATGACAAAAAAAGCAATAAAGATTTGGGGGATGCATGTCTTAAAAAGTACACAGATGACTCTCAGGGTCTGTACAGATAGCTAATGGCAAACCAGCGCCCAAGCACAGGGGCTTTAATTACAGACAATTCTTACATTATTAGTTGTGATAGATTACAAAGATTGAGGATGGCTATCAACCTAATAATGAAAGGAAGGGAGTAAAAAGAGGGATGACATGAGCACTGGTGAGAACAAAATCCAGATAATGAGAACAAAAATCAATCAAGAAACCAAAGGACATGAAGGGAAGAGAAACATTGATAGCTTCTGCACCAATGCTAAGAGCCAGGTAATAAACAAAAGGAATTGCTCATTTTTTAGCATAAATTTGATCCAGCTCATATTATTGAAACAAGGTGGGATGATGCCTATGATTGGAATGTTAAAATCAATGGTTTTAACATATTTAGGAAGTTTCAAGTGGTCAAAAGGGAATACAGTGAGACAATCTGTCAAAAATGGTATTACGTCTTTTCAAGTCACTGATCATTCAGAAAAACATGATCTTGAATGCATATGGATCAATATCCTAAGAGATAAAACCTAAGGTTGCTGTTTGCCTCAAGACAAATCACATCAGGAAACAGGATGTCTGCTTACTTATGCACTTATCTATAACGTGGATGGATGGAAAAAAAACCCTATGTGATCCTGGGGATTTCAATCTGAGTAATATATGCTGGATCCTTGGAATTTCTAAATATTATCAACTCGAAGAAATTCTATTTTAGGCCTTCTCTTGACAAATGAAGAGGTACTGATCATAGAACTAACAATTAATGGCAGCTCGATCATGACTTGATAACATGCCAACAGAATAAAGTCAAGACCAGTGATTTATAGATATATGGTACTTTGAAAGAGCCAATTTCACAAAGATGAACACAATTATGAGCCAAATCAGCTGGGAGGATGAATTTATTCCTAATTGATAATTGGGACTTATTTAAGAACACTTTACAATTGAGGAAAAAGGGTGTACTGTTTAAAGAAAACAGATCCTAGCATACAGAGGAAGTGAGGGCCATCATAAACAATAAAATAAATATGAAATACTAGAGGGCTGTGCCCCCTGCTCGCTACGCTCACCAAGTCCCCCTCTTGCTGGCTGCTTTTGCTACCAGAGAGCCTGTTAATCTTGCATTGAGCCCAGCTGCGCCCTTCTCCACTTCTGCCCATCACACCCCTGGATGGGCCCCTCTATCTGAATGCTCTAGCTCATCTAATCTGCTCAGGCCCTTCAATCGCCAGCCAGTCCCCCCTGCCTGCACCCTTCCCGCTCCTGCTCCACCTGCCAATAAAATAGTCCATGGTCCACAGTCTACCCCATCCTTCCATCTCTACTCCTACCTCCATTCCTACCCCCACCCTCCTCCGTAACTCCTCCCCTTCCCCACCCCACACTGCCTACCCCTAACTCCTCCTATATTTCTACACCCCGATCCTTCCCTAATCCTCCCCCCTTTGTACCCTTACACTGCCAATCCCTCTGCCTCCATTCCTATATCCCTCTCACCCCGTCATCCTCCCCTTTCTGCACCACCCATCCCAACATACACTCTTACCCCTTTCCTCCCTCCCTACACACACCCTGCACCTTCCCATGAACAGGCAACCTAACCAGCAAAGAAATGGCACCAGGCCCCGTGCCGCTTCTACTGTGGGCCTGTTTCCATCTGGCACCTCAGGCCCTCTGGCTGACCCCAGTTCCATTCCCTGCAGCAGGCTGATCCACAGCGGCACCCAGGTCCTGGATGGAATTGCTCCCTGCCCCAGACACTGGGGACTGGCAAAGCTGCCTGGCAGCCCGACCTGGGTAGATTCTGCCTCCAAAGGGTCCTGCCCCCTCAGCTCTGGCTGCAGCCTTTTGGGAAGTGGAATTTGCCCAGACCAGGCTACCAGGCAGGTTTGCCATCTCCAAACACTGTCTGGGGCAGGGAGGCTGTGGGAGGACAGAGCCTGCAGGATGCAAAGTGACATGATGATGTCACTGTATCGCCCTGCAGGGAAATTTTTTTTTTTTACATCGAGAGAAAAATTAAAGAATTAACAAGATTTATAGTAATGAATGTAAATCCAAAGCTAGGATTTGCAGAAAACTGATAATGGAAGCAAAGATACACAAAGAAAAATCTCTGGTCAGCACAATTATGGAAAATAAGATTGTGTCAAGTATATCAGGAACACAAAACATTATAAACAATGGTATTTGTCCACTACTAGATAGAAATGGTATAATTCTCAATAATGCGGAAAAGGCTGAGGTGTTCAATAAGCACTTTTATTCTGTCTTTGGGAAAAATGAGATGATGTAGTCATATCATATGATACTTTCCATTTCATAGTTATACTTGCTAAAACAGGTTGTCAGGATAATTTGCATTCAAAAGTTTTAAAAAAATCTGGCTGAGGAAGACAGAAAAAAATCTTGCCAGACAGCTAATGCTGGTTTTCAATGAGACTTGGAACACCAGGAAAATTCCAGAAGACTAAAAGAAAGTTAACATTGTGACACTATGTAAAGAAGGTAAATGGAAAGACCCAGATAATTATAGAACTTTGCAGGGGGGGCCTGGGCTTAGTTTTTATGAGGTGCCCCTATGCTCTGAGTTGGGGCCAAAATGAGGGGATCAATGTGTGAGAAGGGGCTGCTAGGGAGTCAGGTGGAGGTGCGGCATCTGAGCAGGAGATAGGGTGCAATAGTGGGTTGGGGGTGCAGGGTCTGGGTGGGAGATTCGGTGCAGGAGTGGGATGGAGTGCAGGGTCTGGGTGGGAGGGCCAGGAGATTTGGGCACCTACCTGACACAGTTCCCGGGGGCAAGTGGGTCTGCATCACCACACTTTGCAGGTGACGCCCCCTGATGCTTCCCTGGGCCATGATTCTCACGCTGAGTTTCCTCCCCCTTGCCAGGCAGGGCTCAGGGCCCAGATGGGGCCTGTGGCTTGTTTTGATCTGTCCCATGAGGCTTGGGGGTCCCGTTCCCAACAGTGGGGAGCCAACACTAGCCTTCCAGCCTCGGGGAGACACCAAGGTTTGCAGACTTGCTGTGTGGCTGAGTGCCAGAGTCAGCTCCCCGCTGTGAGGAGGGAGTCAGAGCCTACAGGACAGATCAGTAATTAAGCACTTGAACTGTTTACCAAGGGTTGTGATGGATTGTCCATCACTGACAATTTTTTAATTAAGACTTAAAAAAAAAGATATGGCCTAGGAATTATTTCAGGGAAGTTCTATGGCCTGTGTTACACAGGAGGTCAAATTGGATAATCACAATGGTCCATCTTGGCCTTGGACTCTATGAAACTATTAGCACAGCACATATCTTTCAGCCTCATGCTCCCAGTGTTCAGGCAGCAGAAGAGACTTGCTTCTATTCCTTTCCATGCTTACAGAATTAGTCTTTTACTTTGAGTAAGAGAGACTCAAGTTCTGGGTTCAATACTCTCCCTGATGATTCTAAGACATCATCATACGAAAAGAAAGGTTTGAAAAATGAAAAGTAGGGAATGTGGCAGTTTGTATTTGTGGAAGATCCCATTCCCCCCTGGAAATATTTTCTACCTTGGGTCCAATGTTCAGGTAGCAGTCAATGGCCAGCACAGGATTCTTGAAGTTATGGATGGCCTTTGGAAAGAGTTTGTATGTTGCGTGCTGAAGGAATTTCTCCAGAAGGAACTGAGCTGGGGCTGCCAGCAATGTGTGTTCACTGTCTGGGGCGCAGACATACTGAAGAGGCAGTATTGGGGCCATGCTCTCCGATACCTGCAATGAAAATTATGGAACCTCTTTCAACCAACACAAAGATGTAGGCTGCATCTTGGCTGGATGTACAGTTTATCTTTTTGTGGCTAGGTTACTGTAATCCCCGTTTGCTAAATAAGATGAAACCCCCCAGATCATGCAATCCAGTGGTGCCACATGGAAATAGCAGAAACTGGGTTTTATTTGTTCTCTGATATTTAAGTGCATTTGTAAATATCTCAGTGCAAAAGGACAGAAAATAAAAATACAAATAGTTTAAATTAAAAAACAACACTATTTACTACAATGCCCCTCAGCCTCCCTCCTCTCCCAACAATCTCAAGAGATTCAATTTTCCCCTTATGACCCATCAGGCAAATGACTTTATCTACAGAATGGCACACAGTTACAATTCCAACTCTGTTTGATACCCAAAGAATAATTAGCCATTCTCCCTAAGCATTAAAATCTGGGAAGTGTTAATTCCAGTGTCCCAGACCAAAATAAGATTGCTAGAGTACAAAACAATCACAGCCTTTGTAAAACGGTTCTTAACAACAGCGACTGAAGATCGCCACAAATGACTAGAGACTGGAATACAACTAATACATTTATCCATCCTACATGAATTTAGAAAACCTTTAAATTTGAGTTTAGAAAAAAAATCCCCTTCTGATTAGAATTTAGATTTGAAAATTTCCTAATTCAAGCCTTACTCTGCCAAATAAATCTGTGAATTAACTGACATTATTTAAATCAGCTTTCAAATCCCACTATGGTCTTGATATTTGCATTATAATGCAGGAGTTGTGGTATCGTGACAGTAACATCAAAGACTCCCGTCCCAGGATTTCTGCTCCAGATGGAGAAACTGTTAAATATTTATTACTACTTGTATTGAGATAGTATAGTACATAGTGGGTCCAGCCATTGTGCTTCATTTTACAAACTCAGAACAAACTTTCTTTGACACACTAAGTAAACATCCAAATTTTGACTTTCATGGAAACAATGGCCAAGTACCAATTCTGTCTCCTGCCCATAGCTTTCTTGATTCAAACATGCAAATCTCACCATGATTTTTGGCTTAATGGTAAAGTCCTTTTGCCCTCCAACCTGGATGTGTTTCTTCATGAGACTGAAATTGTTAAAGCGGCAGATGAGTAGGCCACTGCTGTTTGTTCTCAGGTTAAAATCTACATCTTCACAGAAGTACCTAGATATTAAACACATATTCACGAAATTGTTTGTGTGTCTGCAAAGAGCATCAGATCTGTTTATATTCCTTGAAATAAATGATAAATTGTATTCTTTGTGTAAACAATCTGTGATGTATTCTAGAACTCTATGCACCCACCACCTCTTGGACTCTTTCACCAATTACTTTGCTATAAAAAAGCAAATTCACTTACACAAATCATCTACAGAGCACTTCAAATTCAACTTGCTACTGGCCCTTGCAGACTGATTTTAATAAGAAGAAAAGTCTTATTTTTAAAGTATGTAGTTTGGATAGCCGTCTTCTTCTCCCCATCGACTGACTGCAAACTCTTTTTTAACTTTTGGCTAGATATCGTTCAGCATTGATCTGTCTGTCTCTATTTCAGAATGGATCCCTTCTATAAGACATATCCAGGTGAATTGCTTTTTTTGGGTGGAGAGGGTGCATACAGAAAAGTTCTTCATTAGTTCCCATAATAGAAGGACTAGAGGACACCAAAGGAAAGGAATGGGTAGCAGGCTTCAAACTAATAACAGAAAGTTCTTCTTCACAAAGCAAATAGTCAACCTGTGGAACTCCTTGCTGCAGGAGGCTGTAAAGGCTAGAACTAGAACAGAGTTTAAAGAGAAGTGAGATCAATTCATGGAGGTTGGGTCCATGGAGTGGTATTAGCCAGGGGATAGAAATGGTGTCCCTGGCCTCTGTTTGTGGAAGGCCGGAGATGGATGGCATGAGACAAATCACTTGGTCATTGTCTTCGGTCCATCCCCTCCAGGGTCCTTAGTGTTGGCCGCTGTCGGCAGACAGGCTACTGGGGTAGATGGACCTTTCATAGAATCATAGAATAATAGGACTGGAAGGGACCTCGAGAGGTCATCGAGTCCAGCCCCCCGCCCTCAAGGCAGGATCAAGCTCCGTCTACACCATCCCTGACAGATGTCTATCTAACCTGTTCTTAAATATCTCCAGAGAGGGAGATTCCCCCACCTCCCTTGGCAATTTATTCCAATATTTGACCACCCTGACAGTTAGGAATTTTTTCCTAATGTCCAATCTAAACCGCCCCTGCTGCACTTTAAGCCCATTACTCCTTGTCCCGTCCTCAGAAACCAAGAGGAACAAATTTTCGCCTTCCTCCTTGTGACACCCTTTTAGATATTTGAAAACCGCTATCATGTCCCCCCTTAATCTTCTTTTTTTCAAACTAAACAAGCCCAGTTCATGAAGCCTGGCTTCATAGGTCATGTTCTCTAAACCTTTAATCATTCTTGTCGCTTTGGTCTGACTCAGTATGGCCATTCTAAGCTCAGGGCTCAGGGTTGGGGGTCTCAGTGGACCACCTTGATTTTCATGCAAACCTGCTCCTGGGTGGCCAGGCTGGCAGGTCTCCTGCTCTAGACGGCCGCTTTCCTGTGCCTAGTGCGGAGGTCGTGGACGAGGTCCACGATGTCTGCACTGGGCCAGGCGGGTGCCCGCCTCTTGCGGTCCTGGGCAAGCTCCCGGGAGCCGCCAGCCTCATCCCGGGAAGAGGGGGAGGGCTGGGGGGCATTGGGTGGCTGGCTCGAGCCATGCCAGGTGCAGGGTCTGCTGGCTGGGTGCTGGCAGGCTTGCACCTGGCACGGGCCCCGTAGCCAGCCCGTGCCCCTTTAAGGGGTCCGGGGCCGGGAGGGGGGCAATAGAGTTTCCCAGGTGTTGGCCAGAGTGGCCACCAGGGAAAGCTGGGGAGGCCTAGCCTCCCACTAGTTCGAATGAAGGGGCTACACAGCCCTTAATTCGAACTAGCAAGTTCTAACTAGGCTAGCAAGTTCTAACTAGGCTTAGTCCTCGTAGAATGAGGTTTACCTAGTTCGAACTAAGCGCTCCACTAGTTCGAATTAAGTTCGAACTAGTGGAGCGCTAGTGGAGCGCCTATCAAAGTTAATTCGAACTAATGTCCGTTAGTTTGAATTAACTTTGTAGTGTAGTTATTTTAGATTTTTGCAGTTTTACTCTTGAAATCACACATACAACAGGGTTTTTTTAAAATCACACACAAAACATCCATTTGCTCGCTGCGTATGCTTATCTCTGCATGCACTTCCTGTTTCTTAGAGAGAAGGGTGGGCTAACTCTCACTTTGAAAAGCTCATTCCCATGGGTATAAGAGGCAGGGGAAGGCTTTGCCTTTTCAAACTGCCAAGCGTGACCCAACCCATACTCTTGCACCCTGCTTCAGAGTAGTTCTCAGGCTGCCCATGGGCTTCAGACATGATGAGGCAAGGGCCACATGCCACCTACCCTCCCCATGCTCCGGGGCTGGGGAGGCTCGGGGGTGGGGGCTGGAGACTTGCCCCTTTGATGGGATGTGGCTTGTGGAGGAAGGAAAAGCTGAAGCCCTGCCCCTGTGGTGGTAGCTCCTGAAGGGCCTCAGGTAGAAGGGGTGGGGCTGAGGGTTGCCTCCCCCAGTCTTAGGTTCACCCACTGCCCATGCTCATTTCTAGGTAACAGGAATGTGACATAAGTAACTCAACCAATCATACAGTTGATTTTAGTTCGTTTGAATACTGCAGACCTACCACAATACTGCATACATCATTCCATGGCTTTTTAAAATAGGCTCTTCTGGCTATGACCTCCCAGCCATGACAATACCACTCTTTTTTCACTATGGCTAAGAAACCTGGCTATTAGCTGGGAGTGAGATTTTTTTTTTTTATGGTCTTTGTTAAATCATTTTTGCTCACCTGTTTAGATCATATTGCACGTTCTGTGTCAGATCTATGTTGAGCAGGATGAAGTCATGCACGTGGCACCTGGAGAATGGAGGTTGCGATCCCCTGGAATTCAACTTGCTGTTCCATTTCTGAATGCCCAGTATTGCATAATGAACAATTTTTGGTGTAGCTTCAATGTGCTGTAGAACATTCTTCAAAGACACATTCTTACTCGTCCCTCCGGGCTCCATGGATTGGCTATGAAATGTAATCATGTACCACATATGTTTTAAATCTCTGCCACTATATTATGATGTAATGTTTAAATCAGGATCTTTGTTGTGCTAGGTGCTGTACAAATATATAATTATATATTCATGTTCACATACAAAACATTCCCATTATTACAAATGGCTAATGTAAGTGCCAATCATCCCCACCTCTGCCCCTCAATCAAACACAGAGACTTTCCAGGGCTGGGGAGTATTACTGATAAGACAGAGAGAGAGGCAGAAGGAGGGAGAGGAGTGGGAATGGGGCATGCTCAGGGGAGGGAAGGGGTGGAGTGGGGGCAGAGCAGGGATGGAAAGAGGTGAGGGGAGGCTTGGAGGAAGGAATGGAGTGGGGGTGAACGGGGTTTGAGTACCACCTGGGTAGAGAGGAAGTTGGTGCCTATGAATCATAATATGAACTGATGGACAGAAAACACTAACCAGTGTGAGATAATTGGAGATAAAATGTAGAATTATATAGTGTTATTCATCTGAAATGTCATGCCCGAAATACTAGCGCCTTCGAATTGTTACTAAAGGCATGTCTGCCATGCACTCCGAGGTGTGAGTGCAGCATTTCCATATGGAACTCAAACAATAGCAGTGAAGCAGTGTCGGCCTGGATTAACCTCTCAAGTACATGCCCAGAGTCCTGGGCAGGTCTGTATAGCCTGTGCTACAGTGGCTTCACTGCTATTATTATCTGACCTAGCTAAACCAAAGCTAATTGAGTTACAGTCCCATCTCTGACTGTAGTGTAGATGTACCCAGAGTGATAAGCAGAATATGATTTGGAGATTCTGCTTAGACTGTTTTAAATAGCCAATTTTTTAATGCCCACCAAGTGCTATTGGCTCAGGCTACAAAGCATGGATCCAGGTCAGAATACTGCAAAAGTTTGGGATTGTCTGTGTCTTTGGCTTGCACCCATCTCTAGCTGTTCCATTGTTTGAGAGAAGCTAACTTACCTGGACTGTTCTTGGACACTGTGAATGTTCCACAAGACACAAGAGTCATCCATGACAACAATGAATGGCCAGACACATTGACGTTTGACTCCTAGCTCTTCCAAGCGGTTTCTCTCCAGTTCTAGATTGTGGTAGGAAAGTTCCTTAATAAGGAATCGTGCAGCACCTGGGAGGACATATGACACAGAACAATTTCTGTAGGTCTCTAATGAGAACGTTCCTGCAGCTTCTGTTTTCAATACAAGAAAGGGCACAGCACCTTGAAACTCACACAGTGAGAAGCACATCTTACCACGCATACTTTTTCAAATGTATTTGCCAATCTAGGCCCACCTAGGAGAGGCTAAGGCTACATCTAGACTTCAGGCTTCTTGTGCAAGAATCTTTTATCAGAAGAGATCTTCCAAAAAAGTTCTTGCGCAAGAGCTCGCCCACACACAAAAGTGCATTGAAAAAGCGATGCGCTTTTGCGAAAGAGAGCAGCCAGACTGATTAGAGGCTCTCTCACATAAAAGGCCACCTGGAACCAGTTCAGACAGGGCTTTAGGTCACCAGTTGCTTTCAAGTGCTGTTGCTGGAGCCCTGCAGAGACACGTGCTTAAAGGGACCCCCCTCCCCGGTAAGCTGTTTCTCTGTTCCTGCTGTGTGCTTGCCTACCTCTTCGAGGGACAGCAAAGCTTCAGCTGTGTCTGCTGTGGTTGCCCTGTTCTTTTTTTGGATGCCACAGCTTTTTTTGTGTGCGCTATGGAGCCGGAGCTATCCCTGGGTAGGCGATGGCCCCACATGGCCAAGCTGCAGTTTTTGTAGCACTTTCTGCCAGCTGCCTTCCTGTTCCTGGAGGACCTAATGAGAGGGGTAACTAGTGGTGTCCCCCAAGGGTCAGTCCTGGGACCAATCCTGATCAACTTATTCATAAATGATCTGGAGAAAGGGGTAAGTAGTGAGGTAGTAAAGTTTGCAGAGGATACAAAACTGTTTAGGATAGTCAAGACAGAAGCAGACTGTGAGGGACTCCAAGAAGATCTCACCAAACTCAGTGATTGGGCAGCAAAATGGCAAATGAAATTTAATGTGGATAAGTGTAAAGTAATGCACATTGGGAAAAATAATCCCAACTATACATACAGTAGGATGGGGGCTAATTTGGCTACGACAAATCAGGAAAGGGATCTTGGAGTTATCGTGGACAGTTCTCTGAAAACTTCCACGCAGTGTGCAGCGGTGGTCAAAAAGGCAAATAGGATGCTAGGAATTATTAGGAAAGGGATTGAAAATAAGACACAGAATATCTTACTGCCCCTGTATAAAACTATGGTACACCCACATCTTGAATACTGTGTACAGATGTGGTCTCCTCACCTCAAAAAAGATATTTTGGCCTTGGAAAGGGTTCAGAAAAGGGCAACTAAAATGATTAGGGGTTTGGAACGGGTCCCATATGAGGAGAGGTTAAAGCGACTAGGACTTTTCAGTTTAGAAAAGAGGAGACTGAGGGGGGATATGATAGAGGTCTATAAAATCAGGAGTGGTGTGGAGAGGGCTGATAAAGAAAAGTTATTTATTAGTTCCCATAATAGAAGAACTAGAGGACACCAAATGAAATTAATGGGTAGCAGGTTTAAAACTAATAAAAGAAAGTTCTTCTTCACACAGCGTGTAGTCAACCTGTGGAACTCCTTGCCAGAGGAGGCTGTGAAGGCTAGGACTATAATAGAGTTTAAAGAGAAGCTAGATAAATTCATGGAGGTTAGGTCCATAAAAGGCTATTAGCCAGGGGATAAAATGGTGTCCTTGGCCTCTGTCTGTCAGAGGCTGGAGAGGGATGGCAGGAGACAAATTGCTTGATCATTGTCTTCGGTCCATCCTCTCTGGGGCCCCTGGTGCTGGCCACTGTCAGTAGACAGGATTCTGGGCTAGAAGGACCTTTGGTCTGACCCAGTACGGCCGTTCTTATGACCTGGACCCCGAGCTCGACAGGTTCCCAGCCCTGCTTAGCCGAAGGAGCCCAAGCTGGTGGCTTTAACATCTGCTCCACCCAGGGCAGGTTTCTGAGGTGGACAACGAGGACGGTTGCTCTTGGTGCCAATTTCTGGGGCCACGCTGGTGCTGGGATTTTTTTGGCTCAGCCTCTGGTGTGTTTGGCATGGGGTAAGGCTCATTTGTAACGAGCAGCTTCCCTGCATCAGAGCCCTCTACACGTTATCAGTCACTGAGCTAATGTCCTCGGAGGGCAACCGAAAGACCCCAGCTGCCTTGGCCGGGCATGGGCCCACCTCCTGCTGTGTTCGCTCATCCGCCCCGGGGTCCCCCATTGCTCCGTCCCAGCTCCGAGCAAGCCCCTTTGATCGGCGGCGTGAAGGTTTAACAGCCCCCCGTGTGCCGCTCAGGTTTGGAAACCGGCTCCCGAGGGGCAGGGGAAAATCCGTTTCCGTGGCAACCTGCCGCCGCGCTGGTCTTGGGAGAAAGCGCCTTGGTGGAAGCTGGTAGGAGGTGGGCCCTGTGGTGCTTGGGGGGGGCAGAGGAAGGGAGGGGGACGGGCACCTCCCAAGGGCTCACGCACCCCCTCTCTCATGCTCTGTTTTGTGTGTTTGTTTGTCTCCTTCTGCAGGTGGTGAGGGCTATCAACTCCCTGCTGCTGCAGAGAGTCATCCGTTTAGGAGACCTAGATGCAACTGTGGCCAGATTTGCTGCCCTGGGGTTCCCCAACTGCAGGGGAGCCATCGACGGGACACCCATCCCCATCCAAGCACCAGACCGTCGAGCGACTCCGTACATTAATCGAAAGGGCTACTTTTTGATTGTCCTGCAGGCCCTAGTGGGCCACCGGGGACAATTTATGGACCTTTTTATGGTGTGGTCGGGCAGGGCACACGATGCCCGAGTGTTCAGAAACTCAAGCCTCTACAGAAAGTGGGAACCTTTTTCTCACCCCAGGACTTTGTGGTTGGCAACATGCACATGCCACTGTGCGTAGTGGGGAATGCGACATACCAACTAATGCCCTGGCTAATGAAACCCTACATCAGCCACCTGAATCCCAGCAGGAACCTGTTTAATACCCACCTGAACTGAGCCAGGATCCAGGTGGAGTGCACCTTTGGCGCCTCAAGGCATGTTTCTGGTGCCTCCTCACCCACCTGGACGTAGGGGAGCACAACATCCCCGAGGTGGCGGTGACGTGCCGTGTGCTCCACAGTATGGTGGAGCGGAAGAGGGAGGCCTTCCTCCCAGGGTGGGAGGGGGCAGATGCCATCAGCGAGGTCCATGTGTTTGAGCAGCCCCGGACAGCCGCCAGACCCATCAGTTGGGGGTGCACATCCAGGAGGCCCTGAGGGAGAGGTTCTCTCAAGGACCCCAGTAACTGTCCCCAGGGACTCCCCAACAGGGGCCTCTGTCTTGCTGCTCTATCCCTTCCCCCCCATAACCCCTCCCTTTGCCCCTTCCCTGACCTCCCAATAAACACGCCTGTTTGGTTTTAGAACAAAAGCAGTCTTTTTTTATTAAACATTCAGAAAAGGTGCGCAGGGGAAGGGGGGCTCTGAACTGGGGGGGGG